CGCTTACGGAAGTGATCAAAGAAATCGTTAAATTTCAACTTTCCTTTTTTAAATCAATTACATCACATTATTGCATCTCTTTTGTAGTTTTGAAATATGTTGGTCCCACCGGAAACAAAAACGTCAACTTCCGGTTATAAGAGAAAAACTTCATAATTTGAGTATTTTTCTTTCCTATTAATATCTTTTGTAGATAAAGTATTTGAAATGAATTTTAAAAATGTTATTCAAACAGCAAATGTCTAGAGTAAGCTCAAATATCTTTCAAAAATTCACTTCCGGTCGCGTGTTTTTCTGTCCTCAGAATGAGAAGTTGTCTGAGCAAGATCTCGGAAACGGTAAGAGATTAAGACACCAGACTTATATGAGCAACAGACCTTAAGATGTAGCCAAAACCTTTTGGGTTCAGAGCGTCAGCCGTCACTTCCGGTCGTCACAGGGTGTGATCAAAGCAATCGAAAATTTCAACTTTTCTTTTTTTATTTAAGAAATGCATCACTTTATTGCATCTTTTTCGCAGATTCGAAAGATGTTGGTCCCACCGGAAACAAAAACGACAACTTCCGGTTATAAGAGAAAAACTACAAAATTTCGTATTTTACTTTCCTATGAATATTCTTTATAGATAATGTATTTGAAATGAATTTTTAATATGTTATTCAGACTGCAAAGGTCTAGAGTATTCTTAAATATCTTTCAAAAATTCACTTCCGGTCGCGTGTTTTTCTGTCCTCAAAATGAGAAATTGTCTGAGGGAGATCTCAAAAACAGGTAAAAGATTAAAACACCAGACTTATATGAGCAGCAGACCTTGAGGAGTAGGCAAAACCATTTTGGTAAAACGCGTCCGTCGTAACTTCCGGTCATCACAGGAAGTGATCAAAGAAATCAAAAATTTTAACTTTTCTTTTTTAAATTAAAGTTTTAAGAAACTGCTCTCAGAAACTGCTCATTCAAATGAGTTAAAAACTTTTCAGGGTTAATAGGCATGTTGTGTAGATGTGCGGAACGAAGGTCATTTTGCGCGCACATGCATGCACGTGCGCGCGCGTGCAATGAGTGAAATGACTGATATACTTGATGAAGCCGTAACTTTTATATTTCTTGATGAATTGCTTTGAAACTCAAAATATAAAGATATATAAGTAGTCTAGACAAGATGACATGGTCAAATTAGCGTGAACTCAGCGCATGCACGTGCGCTCTTCTCTGATTGGCTGATACAAAAATCTCAATAATTTCCTTGTTTTTTGGCAAAATACTTTGAAATTTAGAATATAAGTATATATTATAAGGTGCTACAACATGTTATATAGGAAATTTCTTGAAAACATGTGCATGCAGGTGTGCTGCAATCTGATTGGTTGAAACTTTAAATGTCTATAACTCCCTTGGTTTTCAACAAAACAGGATGAAATTTACGACATAGATAGGCACATAGAACTCCTACATTATGATACTATCAAAATTGAATGCAAGGCCATGCATGCGCGTATGCTGAATTCTGATTGGCTAATACTTAAATGGTCACATCTCTCTTATTTATCAATGAAATTCTTTAATATTTAAAACAAATGTATGTACTGTGAGACACTATAAGAAAATAAATGTGAAAAATGTAGAAAACATGTGCAAGCACATGCACTGAAATTTGATTGGCTAATACCCATATGGCTATATCGGAGTAGTTTTCCAATAAAATACCCTTAAAAATAAAGTGTCCATCTATATTACAAAAGTATTGTCTAATTTATTGAAGCTTGTAGGGAATGGGGCATCATAAGGGATTGGGGAGCCGTTTGGGGAACAACTGTAACGGTTCCCGTTACAATTAGCACTAGTTTTATTCGTTATTGTTTTTAATAAAATCATATCATACATCTATTCAGGATAATTTCATAGCTAGTTTTTCCATTTTTGAAATTAATATGATCGTGCTCATCAGTATTTTCATTTACAGGCATCGTCAAATCGGAAAGACTCTCTTTTATCAGCTGATTTTGGCCCTAAAATTATTTGAACATACAACACAAAAAAAATATATTTAGAGATTAAATGTGTAAGAGCGATAGCTACGAGTTTTCAGGTGTCCGTGTAAATGGCCAGTGCCCAACGAGGTACCTGCAATACCTTCAGATTGCGTAATATTACATCGTGAAGCAATATTGGCGATCTAATAAATAAATGTCTTGGAAGCAGTTAGTTAACTAAACTAGTGTCAGTAGTTGTTACTGTTTCCGTGTTTTTCAGAAACGAGATCGTAGAATTAGACAAAATTCACAACTGTCAATAAAATATCTGTTCACAGAAACCAGAGACATAATATGATTATCTGATTATATGTCTCTGCAGAAACGACTATTTTGAAACTGAAAAAAAAAATCCAGAAGCAATTCATTTCATTGAAATTTTATCATGAATATTTTGTTTTAATCGATGGACTCGATAAATCAATAACTGATTGAAGGGAAAAGGATGCACGTGCCGTAACATTTTGTACGTTTTCTTTCTTTCTTTCTTTTTTTAAAATCAACTTACATAATACATGAACATAAACAGAAATATAAATACCAAGCCCGTCGGGATTTACAGAAAATAGTAATAAAAATAATTTGATTTGATTTATTTAATTGTATTCAAACTCTATTAATTTGTATTAAAAGACTTGTATGATTGATCTTTTTCCTTTTAATACATGTATACTCTCAGGGTAAAAAAAAAAGTATATATTGACTCGCGTAATTTTCTTGATTGTAATTTCATTTGAAAAAGAAGAAATAATGAAACAATAAAGGGACTGGTGTGTTGTATGGCTAGACAACGCCTTGCACATTCAGAGAGATTTACCCCAAGTACACCTGTACCCCAAGGACAGGTGAGGAACCCCCAGGGCATGCAGTTTCCTGCTCGCTCTGCTAATCCCTATACACAGGAAATGATCGCGTCTAATACTTAATACACACAGAAACAGGATATATTCAAGTAAACTTGGCATTTGATTTTTTTTCTTGAGTATTATGGGGAATAAGTTTTAGTGATATGACCCTCCCCCCCACGTTTTAATTGTTTTGAGGAGTTCATCACCCTATCTTCTGTAATTGGAGAAATAATTAAATTAAAAACAAAATACTGTTTACCAAAGAAGTAAATATCGAGGAAAAGAAAAAAAAATGCTATATTTTATTAATATCTTGTATAACGTTCGTTCACGCGTCCACTCACTGTAAAAACTCTCACCATCGAATATTACAGCTTTCCGGTCATTCGACAATTTCAGAGAAATGCTTGCACATTTATACAATAAAGTGAAATTATTATGAATTATACTGTTCTAAATTTGGTAAAAATACAAAAACATAAACAGTATATAGATGGGTTTTTCTTTTTCTTAGGAATGCTGAAAACTGTTAATCGGAACTCGCACTGACTATTTAGCACGTGTATGTAAAATTATTGCAGTTTTTAGGACTTATATTTCCGATATTAAAATTTGTCATATGCATGTTAAGCTCTCAAATGACACAGCTTATAAATAGTTATCTTGGTACTATTTAAAACAAAAGATGTCGCTTTAGTATTGATAAATAATTTAAAAAAAAAAAAATAATAATAGTTTGAAATATCTTCTGCTTTACAATTCTTTCTTTTCTTTTTTTTTTTTTGAGTATATTCATTATTTTCACCTCACTGTTGCAATATAAAAGAAAATACTTTCATAAATGTACATACACTGCGGATCTTTAATTTTTTTTTAAGAGGGAATTTCGCAAAATTCCTGTTCGGGGAGATAACTCCCGTTTGTTTACGATACTAGTTGATCGATGATTTAACCGCGGCGGGGACAGGTAGGTGATGAATTTCCCGCGGAGGGAATGCGGTTTACCTGTCTCACCTGGCCAAATCCCGCGTTGTGTTTACACCGCGACTGGGCTCGGGAAATACGGGATCCGCGTTGCCTGTACTATATATATATATATATATATATATATATATATATATATATATATATATATATATATATATATATCTCTCTCTCTCTTATATACTGTATATTCCTAATGAAATTATATCTCCAAATGTGACCCACTCTACTCCTGGGGTCATGATATGAATATTTACATGTGATTTTTGTTATATAATATGATTTATAATTTGCTAAGCTCCTCTTGAGAAGATTTTAATGTTTTTCCCCCATATACATATATTCCCAGGTAAAACTTCGAAGTTCCTTAATTTTGACCCACCCTTCCCCAGTGAGTCATAGTTTAAAGAAATATGAAGCTACGCTATGCTTAATATGACTAACCTTGTCTTTGCTGTTCTTGAAAAGAAGATTTAAAAGATTTTTTCTATAATCATGTTTCTACGCAAAACTTTTATAACCTGTTATGATCCCGCCCTACCCCCAGGGGTCCTGAATCGAAGAATCTTGAATTCTACATCAAAGCAATGCATTTAAAGGAAACTTTTTTTTTTATTTATGTTGTGAATATTTTAATAAATATACACACTGTACTTATTAATAAAATACACAAATATTTTCCTTTGTTAAAAAAAGATTCGCAGTCAAAATAGATTTCGGAGTCTATACAGTTTTTTGTTCATTAATTTCTAGTAAAAGTACCATAATGGACTGGATTGTCTGTAGAGGAGTGGGCATTGTTGTTGTTTTGTTGTTGTTTTTTTTTTATTTATTTATTTATTTTTTTTGTTTCATATCTAATTAATACTGAACTCAAATATACAAATATAGTGTATGGAACTAAATATGTTTTCTTTTGTTTTAGAAATCAAGTCAGAATGGATAAAAAAATCCTACAGGCGTTGCTTGTGGGACTCTGTTATGTTTTTGTTTATCGTAAGTAAATTTCAACATAACTTTAACAATAAAGAATTCTTTTTGAATATATTATTTTATAAATCTCCCTGGGACTTATCGACAATAATTTGCTTTTATAGCTGTAGACCCACCAGACAACATTGGTAAGGAATACGTACTCATGTTCATGGAAAACTATAAATTGGAGAAAAACAGGACTTTCCCGCTAGAACTTTACATAAGTACTTCAGAAAAGACTACAGCACATGTTAACATTAAATCCCCTATATCATCCAATCCACACGTGGATCAAAACATAACAGTTCAACCAGGCATGGTACAACGCGTAAATATCAGCGAGGCCTTCCGAGTGGTTGGAAACTCAATATCTTCGAAAGGGTTGCTGATAAAATCAGATCAAGATATAGCAGTATATGGAGCAAACAAAGATACCTTGTCCAATGACGTATATTGTGCCATCCCTGTAGATGCATTGGGTATTGAGTATTATGCGGCTTGTTACGGCCCAGCACTCAAGAAAACGGAACTTGGAATTGCAACTACCGAGGACAGTACGTCTGTAACGGTAACGCTTCCAACAAGAAACAAAAATTTAACTGTTAATTATGGCGGGAAGATCTACAAAGCAGGCGATTCAATTAAAGTTAACTTAAACAAGTATCAGACTCTTCAATTACAAAGTACCTCAGACTTGACGGGTGCTCATATAGTTTGTAACAAACCTGTCGCTGCATTCAGTGGGAACATCAAGACTAATATTGGTGTTGGAATTTACGCTGACCATTTAGTAGAACAGTTAACTCCAGTTGATACATGGGGTAAAAAATTTGTTACGGCCCCTATTCCAAAACGAACTACGGGCGATTATTTCCGAATCATTGCTAGTGAAGACGACACTGAAATACAAATTTCAGGAATGACCTCAATAAAAATTCAAAGAGCTGGAGAATGGAAGCAAGTTACAATTCCATCTGATGATCACAAACTTATCACTTCCAGCAAACCAATCATGGTGACCCAATACGTGATGAGTCAACAAAATGACTCTGAACCCGCGGACCCATCCATGATGATAATACCTCCTTACGAGCTTTTTGGGGCAAAATACACATTTTCAACTCCTCAATACTCACGACCAGATTATGGCACCGGGTATGCTTATGACCATGAGTTCATAGTCATCGTAAAGGATACAGACCGTAAAACGTTATTATTGGATGACAAACCCTTCCCATCAAACACGCATTGGAAGCCTATTCCTGGCACTGATCTAGTGGGCGGCTACGTGACATTGACTTCAGGTTCGCATACTGTGCGGAACACTGATCCAACAGCACTCATTGGTGGATATTTGTATGGGCACGCTTTTCATGAATCATATGGATTTCCCACTGGAATGCGATTAGCTAAAATTAATGCTGTAAGTTGATTTGACATTGAAATACAAAGTTGTATATTGTCTCTTATTTAATTCCTTGTTTTAATTGATTATTTTCTTAACGCTTGGAAATCCCTCTCATAAAAACGTCCCTTTCTCACAACAAAAAACAATTAGCGCTTAAATAATCAACAAGGATATCAATATTCAGAATTGCTAAAACTGTATCGTTGTAAGAAGAAAATAATGCATGTCTTTGTATAGTTTGTACTTGCTATATTGATTAATTGATTGTGTGTTGTTTTACGTCCCATTCGAGAATTTTTCACTCATACACGGACGTCACCATATACCGGTGAAGGGCTTCAAATTAGGACCTTTACTCGGCACTTAGGGTCATTGAGCAGTATGGTTCTTTATCGTGACAATGCCTACTGTGACACTGGGGCCTCGGTTTTTAAGGTCTCGTCCGAAAGACCCGTAACTTTCACTCCAAAGTGCCGAGCGCATGGCGAAGGAACAGTTGCTACCTTTTTTTTATCGACTTAGGTCAGTTACGACCATGATTCGAACACGAAACCTTCCGATGACGGAGCTAGCGCTCTACCGACTGAGCTATCGTGGCGGTACTTGGTATATTTAAAAGATATTTCAATGAAAGGCAACTATAGGGACACCTGGGACTCGCTATTTTAAGGTTGCATTTTTTTTATTGAATAGGATCATAAGTGGGACTTACACGCAAGTTCTATGAACCTACATAAGTCTTACTGAATATATATTATGCCGTAACATATGTACATCGTGTAAGACGAACTAAACGAGGTCTCAGGTACGTCAAATTTATGTTCACAAAATTTATAACAAATCGCTGTATGTTTCAATGTTATGGTGCCAAATATATTCTAAAATTCCAGGAAAAATTGGACCAATTTCAATTTAAATTAACACTTTCTTCACTAAAATATCAAAATTTACATCAAAGATCCCCCACTTTTAATCTTCTTTTTTGAATATATAAGATAACTTTGATCATTCTGCTTAAATTCAGTAAATGTTTAAGACTTTAAAATAATTATTTTGCTTGTTTAACTTTTACTGGCAGAAAAATGACATTTTGTGAGTGCAGAAAGTCAAATAATTGATTATGCGAAGTAATATGAAACTTTTTCTTTCTTAAAATTTTTAATGCTTCTTTTCAGGATAGATAAATTGGTCCCCAGTGATTTATTTGGATAAAAGTTATTTGAAAAAAAATTTCGAAGAAGTAAAGTGCAAAAATGTCATGTTAAATGTACCTTGGCGCCAGTGTATTGACCCCCGTATTTTGTTTTGATTTTTAACTACGCTACATGTATATGTAAAGATACTAACTAGAGTGTTCCAAGGAACGCATGTGTCGCCTGCTTTGTAGCTTCATTAAAGATGTAAATAAATCTAAGTGTAGTTAACTATTTATTTACCACTAGTATGATAGTTCATGAATGCACAAATAGTATAAGACTGCGGAAGAGTCTGACAATCAAAGAAAATATGATTCCCAACCCTTAAATGAATAATTAAGTTGAAATTATTATAAATAATAATTTATCATTTTACGTGTGTTAATACCTGTTTCAAAGTCTTTACACCAATACGTTCCATCTCCACCATGGAAGAGTTATTGTTCTTTGTGCGCTCTTTTGTGAAAAAGGCAGAAAATGTACAAATCTCGCGGGATATCTGGGACAATCGTAACAACATGTAAACAATCCCTAACAAAAAAATACTATAGTTAACTATAGTTTACTATAGTTAACTATAGTAAATGAAAGTGTCAAAGTGATCACTATACTAAATCAAAGTTTTCAAAGTGATCACTATAGTGTCATAGTTATCAATATAGTAAATCAAAGTTTTCAAAGTTATCACTATAGTAAATCAAAGTTTTCACCAAAGTAAATCAAAGTTTTCATAGTGATTACTATAGTAAATCAAAGTTTTCATAGTTATTACTTAAGTAAATCAAAGTATGAAAGTTATCACTATACTAAATCAAAGTGTCAAAGTTATCACTAAAGTAAATCAAAGTTTTCATAGTGTCAAAGTTATCACTATAGATAAACTATAATAGTAAACTATAATTAACTATAGCATTTTTTTTGTTAGGGAATATGTTGAATGTCGATGAAAAAACGCCTTACAAACATGCAAATGAGACACTATATTGTTGTAGACTTTACATGCATCAGAGGTAGAAACGACAACAATATAATTTACATGTATATATACTATAGGAAGTTGTTGACAAGTGTTAGTCTATCACGACTTACAATGTGCATGCCTCGAAAACGTAGTAAATTTTATCAGTGGATGATAAATCCGGGGCTTTTGCACTCTCACTTATGTCTATTAGTTCTTATACTCTTTAATGGGAATGACAAATACGTTTAACATACTAATCTGGATTGAAATCGGCATGTTTTGTATTAATATTCTCCGCTACGTCATGTTGTCCCAGCCAGACAACCAAACGCGCCTTTGATTTGAAGAATTCCAGTAATAATTGGAACGTATTGTCACTCTACACGATCCGTTGTGGGATACCGATCCTGATGTATTTTCATAATATTTAAATTTCAGTTTGTGTGGTAACTGAATATCATGCAGTTTCAAAGTACAGTATTATAAGCTCATAAATACGTATAAATGCTAATTATCAACACCCCGCCTCTCAAAATTCAAAGTATTAAGTTAAATTAAACTGTCCGGGGTATTTTTGCAAAGTAGGACAAAGGTCAAGGTCAAGTGAATTGTAACGCTGGCGTTTTCCATTATGTTTTATGACAATCAGTGCACATGCTAAATAGCAAAGACTTACCCCTTAAATGTCAAAATTATGCTGTATATTGGCACTTTTAACTTTTTGTAAAGTAGGTCACGGTCAAGGGTCACGACGTCGGTACCATGGCAATGCACAAATGTCATAGTGCCAAGCAATATACTGTATGTGCAAAATATCAAGTCTATATCTCTTACAGTTCTTGAGATACAAGGTGTGATAGATGGACAGACAGACAGACAGACGCCGGGTAAAGTGATCTTTAAGTGCCGCTCTCTCTCTCTCTCTCTCTCTCTCTCTGCAGGCGACACAAAAATAAACTTGACAAAAAAGACTTTCGAAATCAGGATCCAACCTCCTTACGTTACGTTTCAGTTTTTACCTCTATATAATATCGTTATCTTTAATCTTTCCAGAATTCATTCAAACTTCAATTAGAATTTTTTATAACTTTTTTTCTCTGCAGATACTTATTAACATTTCTTTTTGGACGAACATAGTAACTATATTTTTGGCGTCAGATCAGACTAGATTTTTATGCACATGAGGTTCCAACGTGACTGACAAATCAGCAGAGAGAGGTGAATTGCTTTATGGGTTACTACATTGTAGGAATACTACAGGAATTTTACTCTAAAAAAACCCAAATCTACACGTGATCGGAAAAGCACTATGAACACTTTTCGATACGCATTCCTTAGATGAAAATACATGTATGTCCATTATTGTTCTACATATATTAGTTCAACATGCTGACATTTATAACAATTCATTGTTAAATAAACAAGGTGGAATTCTAGGTTTCTCAAAACCATGTTGTGAGGGATTTGTGTCTGTATTCCTTTGTTGTACTCTCGGTAAATACAAAATTCAGGTGGATTCCCTGACCACAGACAAAAGACGGACGTCTGATTAAAATATTATTATTATTATTATTTGGTGGGGGTGGGGGGGTGGGGTGGAGATAACGATCAGAATTCAAGCTCAAAAGTCAATTGAAACAATGCAAATCAAGAGTGGAGCAAACATGGAACTCTAAAAAAATTAAATGTGGGATCAGGTGCCATTGACAAGTAAGCATTTTATGTCGACAGGTTACACGTACCCGCCGTGTGCTTATTGTCATGATCAGACAAATGGAAAATTCCGTTGACGATTCAGTATTTAAATTATGACCTATCAATTAGTATGAAAAACTTCAGTCAGCATTCGACTTAATGATAGATTGTATTGCTGACAAGGTAATTATATCGACCACAGAACTTTAGAAATAATGACTTTAAACGATACTGTTGATATCCTTGTTTTCATCAACTTTTTTATCAATAGTTTGTCTTGTTTCAGAAATTGTTTGTACTTGTACTTAAAGCATGCTCTTGCGTATCGAATCAACTGGGAGACATAAAGTCCATATGCAGATGATAATTAACTGTTTTAGTTTTGTAAACTTTATCCCAATTAAGCTTAAAACCTTTACTGTATTAGTTTTCCGTGCAGGGCGACAGTTTTAAGAACTTGTTCACTCAATATTTCAGAATAAATGTGATTCTGAGAATTTTTTTGTATTGTTACTCAAGCTTTTTATGGCGGTGGATGATTCTTAGAATTGTGAAAATGAGAAAGTTCTCGGACTTGTGAACATTTTCAGACCTCGGTTTTAAGGAGACAGAACATGTTTTTTGCAGGAGTATATTTTAGAGGCATAATTTTAGTTGAATATTCCTGTCAAACTTAGTAGGGTTCAAAAGTAAAATATTCATATATAACGGTCACGTTCGACTCACTCATCCGAAGGTCCACAAGACTAAAGATTTATTAGTAAGAACGTTCACTGGTCAGATAGTTCATTTTCAAACTCTTACACCTCTTTGCCTTGAGGAAGTGTTCATTACAGGCACGCAACTGAAGTTATTAGCGATAATATTAATACATGTAAAAATATACATTTACGTATGTCATTCAATATGACTGAATTTAGACGGCACCCTTGTTAAATTAATCTCATGTTGGATAAATAATTTTTTTCTTTCTTTTTTAAATTGAAATCTATTCATATTTATATTACTGGGACTGATTCTCACTATGGACCACTCACTAAAACAAATTCACCTGATTTTTGTGAAAATGATATACATGTACCGATTTCTTTGTTATCTAAAGGAGAGTTATTTAAAATTCATTTTAGCCATGTAAGCGGACAAATTCTGTTCCTGGAGATGGCATAGATAATGACTGCGATGGAAAGATTGACGAAGAATTGTGTACCACAGAGAATCACCAGAAAGGCATGTATAATTGCAATAATCAAACATACTCATGTAGTAAATTTACTTTTTAAAATAGTTGATTAATTTACAAGTGAGTCATGTTTTTAAAACGTACATTTTTGTCTTTTAATGTAAACAAAAAAAGACATTAACCCGTGCGTGCATGGGTTAAGGAACATGTGAATATCAGTTTGCCAAATGTAATGTGTAAGTTATTGGAGTTCATCCTTTTAAGAATTTAAAGAAATACGAAATTGTAAATGGAATTTATCCTTAATGAGATACAAAATAGTGATCATTATTTTTAATATAAGCGTTTTGTTGAGATTTTTTAGGCTGAATTTGAAGTTGTATATTGTATATCCGGACGTATACATGTCATTAATTTGAGTGTAAAGGCAACAATACTGTAAACCAACTATTATTTGTGACATCTTTTATTCTTTAGTTTGGAAGCCATCCGCGACAACTTATTTTCGCAATGAAGGTAGCATTCTACATAAACATAGGTGAATAATTGATTCGCGACGAGAAATATTTGCGGATATTTCTCGCTTGAAAATAAATGTTGGTTTACAGTATTGCATTTATTAAGTATATCCTATAGTTATGCATTTTTTTAAATTTGTTGCTGTTTTTTTTTTAATATTTTTTTTTAATTTAATTTTCGTCTGCAACGGGAGACCTTATTGTTTCGTTTTGTGTCTTATTTCCTATTTTTCAGGAATGACGCATTGTTACAACGCGAAATGTAAGAACAACGCAAAATGTAATAAACTGGGATTATTACATTTTGCGTTATTACATTTTGCGTTGGGATTAAGGAAAATGTTATAATGCACTTTTTTGTTGTTACATTTTGCGTGACTTAATTTTTGTGTTGAAGACAACGCAAAATGTAATAAAACAAAATATAATTATTTTCTGTATTGTGTTCAACGCGAAACATCACAAAATTGATTTAAACATGTAACAATGGGAAAACTCGCTTTACTAAATAGACAGACAGACCTATGACTATGAGCCAAACGTTATGGCTTTTACGGACATTACTAAATTGTATTTTTTAAAACTCTGTTTCTAACATTTTTATTGAATACTTATAAAACATTAACTTAACTTTGATTGGCATGTCTATTTATAAACCAGTCTGTATCATATATCCGTCATTGACATTCTTAATTACCAAAGATTGACCAAGGGTCCATTAAAATCTCTTGATGTGCATGTACGACGTGCATGTGTACATTGGTTAGCAAATTAGAACTGCATTTGTGTCTGGCGAGGAGGAACAGGGGTAGGGGTTACTTCATATGTTGATCATTGTATTTTTATGCGCATGCAGAAACTATCCATTTTATTATTTGAAGAGTAGGAGAGAGAGACAGAGAGAGATTTTTTTTTAATTTTTTGCTGGTCTGCAATGCACATGATTTGTAAAACAGTATGAAATCTTACTTGTCAAGAAACCCCCTACCCGCTATATTTACATCTGACAGTAAAAATAAATAGATTTCTTTTCTAAATTCCATACATGTGCCTATCAAAAAGAAAAAGCAAACTGATACAATGATCTTGGAAACCACCCCCCCCCCCATAACCCACACACACATACACGTGCGCAACAACGTTTCTAATTTGCAACACCTATGATTTAAATACCAACTGATTTTAAATGGCTAATGAATCAATATATAATGAAATCAGATCTATTATAAGAATAAGCCTATATGTTTTTTTCCTTTTGTTTTATTTTCTTTCCGTTTATTTTCTTCATCAGCTACTCAATTGAAAATTATTCTCAACCTGACTGACTAAGAAGTGTGTAATTACATTTTGCATTGTTGCATTCTGCTAAATCTCGACACAAAATGTAATAACGCAAAGTGTAATAATCCAAAAATCGTGTTATTACATTTTGCGTTGATCTCGACGTAAAATGTTATAACGCAAAATGTAATAATCCCGGTTTATTACATTTTGCGTTGTTATTACATTTCGCGTTGGAACAACGCATTATTTTCACAGGCCCGTAGGAAGCAAATTCAGTTTGTGGGGAGCACAGCCATACATTTTCAGTTGACAGTTGAGGGGGCACTACCAAATATTTCCTGACAAGAAAAAAAAGGTCATCAGACTTTTTTGTTGAGGGGGCACAAGCATATAGTATCTACGTTAACTGTTTTATCCCCCCCCCCCCGTTCCTACGGCCATGTTTCATATCTCCAGACCTTTTTTGATTCTTTGAAAAATCACTTCCGGCCGCATTTTGTTCCCCCGATTTTCATTTTTTTTTAATTTTCATTTTGTCAACGCAATTTCTTACAAATGACTTAAGACAGAATCATGATATTTTCAGAAAAGATACATGTACATGTACAGAAGAACATCTTTTTGAGCTAAATGTATGCATAACGCCTTAAGTAGTATTTGCATCCTTTGCTTCCGTCGACACCTGACGTGAAAATAAAGCGATTAAGAAAATGAACAGTTTTGAATAAAGCCATGAAGGACTGATGATCCCATTGATAATTCAAAGGTACTCATGGACAAGACCCCCCTCCCTTCCCCCATATTGAACCCGGGGGCTGTTGGACATTTCTTCAAAAATGATATGAATTTTATTGCACTTATTTATTTTGTTTTCCATAGGAAAAATCGAAGAAAAAAGCAAAAATAATCGTCCCATTCAAAAATACCCCACATTACATGCGAGAAAGGTATGCTACTCCGATTTGTTTACATTGTACCCCATTGATCTTTTGGCTGTGTTACTACGCAAAATGTACAAATGTAATAAACCAGGATTATTACATTTTGCGTTATTACATTTTTCATCGAGATCAACGCAGAATGTAAAGCAAAATGTAATAACAGACTGTAGAAAAAACCAAACTGGAAAAAAAAGTTATAATCAATTCGTTGACATGTTGTAGAGGGCCCTGGTGACGGAGTTTGGTTCATTGAACGTAATGTACACAGATGTGATACGCGTTCTATTTATATTAGTCCAATAACTGATTTATTTTAAAATAGTTCTGAAAACAATGTTGAAGCAAACAAAAAACAAATCCAAATATCAATTGAGAGAGTAACCCGCTTATGGTGACGGAGTTTGGGTAGTAGGGAATATATATATATATATATATATATATATATATATATAAAGCACATTTTACAACAACTCTTAAACTAACATAACTCTTAAACTAACATAACTGCCCTCAGTGAAGAAATATTAATATAGAAAGCACAAAGAAATTCACTTTTACAAGGATACCCACTTCCGCCCCAGCCCGGGGTTGAACTCTCGACCTATGGAATCTGTCTCCTAGCAGTACAGGAACAGCGCGCTAGACCGCTCGGCTATCTAGGCAAGTCAAAAAACTTGCTTTCGATGCCGATGGAATTCTCGCGGCGCTGTCCTACACTACACGGTCATTGAGAATGAAAGTGAGATACAGTTATTTTGACATTAGTTTTATTAGAGGATCGTTACCAATACACGTTGTAATGAAATTAATTTTTATTTATAAAGCACATTTTTCAACAACTCTTAAACTAACATAACTGCCCTCAGTGAAGAAATATTAATATAGAAAGCACAAAGAAATTCACTTTTACAAGGATACCCACTTCCGCCCCAGCCCGGGGTTGAACTCTCGACCTATGGAATCTGTCTCCTAGCAGTACAGGAACAGCGCGCTAGACCGCTCGGCTATCTAGGCAAGTCAAAAAACTTGCTTTCGATGCCGATGGAATTCTCGCGGCGCTGTCCTACACTACACGGTCATTGAGAATGAAAGTGAGATACAGTTATTTTGACATTAGTTTTATTAGAGGATCGTTACCAATACACGTTGTAATGAAATTAATTTTTATTTATAAAGCACATTTTACAACAACTCTTAAACTAACATAACTGCCCTCAGTGAAGAAATATTAATATAGAAAGAACAAAGAAATTCACTTTTACAAGGATACCCACTTCCGCCCCAGCCCGGGGTTGAACTCTCGACCTATGGAATCTGTCTCCTAGCAGTACAGGAACAGCGCGCTAGACCGCTCGGCTATCTAGGCAAGTCAAAAAACTTGCTTTCGATGCCGATGGAATTCTCGCGGCGCTGTCCTACACTACACGGTCATTGAGAATGAAAGTGAGATACAGTTATTTTGACATTAGTTTTATTAGAGGATCGTTACCAATACACGTTGTAATGAAATTAATTTTTATTTATAAAGCACATTTTACAACAACTCTTAAACTAACATAACTGCCCTCAGTGAAGAAATATTAATATAGAAAGAACAAAGAAATTCACTTTTACAAGGATACCAATTTCCGCCCCAGCCCGGGGTTGAACTCTCGACCTATGGAATCTGTCTCCTAGCAGTACAGGAACAGCGCGCTAGACCGCTCGGCTATCTAGGCAAGTCAAAAAACTTGCTTTCGATGCCGATGGAATTCTCGCGGCGCTGTCCTACACTACACGGTCATTGAGAATGAAAGTGAGATACAGTTATTTTGACATTAGTTTTATTAGAGGATCGTTACCAATACACGTTGTAATGAAATTAATTTTTATTTATAAAGCACATTTTACAACAACTCTTAAACTAACATAACTGCCCTCAGTGAAGAAATATTAATATAGAAAGCACAAAGAAATTCACTTTTGCAAGGATACCCACTTCCGCCCCAGCCCGGGGTTGAACTCTCGATCTATGGAATCTGCCTAGATAGCCGAGCGGTCTAGGGCGCTGTTCCTGTACTGCTAGGAGACAGATTCCATAGGTCAAGAGTTCAATCCCGGGCTGGGGCGGAAGTGGGTATCCTTGTAAAAGTGAATTTCTTTGTGCTTTCTATATATATATATATATATATATATATATATATATATATATATATATATATATATATATACTAGATGAAATCCCGCGCAAGCGCGGGGAATTGAATTTATAACACTACCGACAGAAAATGTATTGTAGTTTCTACTGATAGCCTACAGACTTAT